ACAGGTCATAAATATTTTCTTTGAAAATAAGCACTAATATATATTATATGGCTTGGATCTTGACTGTCCTCCAGAGGTTGCAAAGAAGGAGATCTAGTGAAAGCTGTCTTGTTAGCTATTCAAAGCACTAAATTTTCCCAGGATCGACACAGTACATTATACATAACATTATATTAAAGGCCTAGTCCTCTATCACAAGGTAGTAGAACTCTGTGAAGCAGATATTTATAGGAGTTTCTTATGTCACTGGGTATGTGCCCCTGAGAGAGATTTGGGGGCCATGGCCTGACTAGTCTTTCTGTTTGCTCCCTAAGCTTGCAATTTAAGCAGTTTTCCTCCACCACTGCACCCCTGACATCATCCTACCAGAAGTCAATGGCAATGGGGCCACTTGTTCATGGACTGGGACCTCTAAAACCATGAGCTAAATAATCTTTGTTTTTAGAAGTTAAATATCTCAGGCATTTTGATATATTGATGTTAAGATGATTACTATATAAATAAACACAAATATCTCTTATCCCACAGTGAAAATGTAATAAATCAAAAAACATTTATACACCAATTTTTAAATTTAAATATCTAGAAAATTTCAAGTGACTTAGAATGACTAGGAACATTTTCATTCATGGTTTGTTTGAATAGCAAATGAGGTCTCAATTCCTATGAGGTCAACAGCTATACGTTATGTATAAGCTGCTGCAGGCAATTACATTCTATATAATCCACAGTAGAGAGAAGCAGTGGTGACTCAGCCAGTCCTTTGAGATGACAGCCTCCTCATGCATCAATGTAGTAGACAGAGCCACAGGCAGAGAATATACTCCTTTCAAAAAAGTTCTAACCATACTGATCAGCAAATATTGAGATATTTAACATTTCGCCTTATAAGAGAAAGAAAAAAAGACAAGGTAGCCATAAACAAGTTAAATTTCTCCACAAATTCTTCCATTAGCAATAATAAAAATTTCAATAAGTAAATAAGGTAAGAAAATTAAAAAGTCACTATTCGTAAGCAATGTGTGAATTAACTATAAAAGGCATAGTTTTTTTTTCATTTTATAATTAAGGAATCACCAGTTCGTATCTTAAGATGACTAATGCTATCTTAAACACATTCAAATGATAAAATCATAATACAAAGTAATCAGTGAACCCATAAAGAACAAGCAAGCTATGTTTGCTGCCCAAACACTGCCGATTTCTACACAGGCAGTGAGAATCCCACTGTCGATCCTGGGAACACTTAGTGCTTTGGAAAGCTAATGAGACAGCTTCCACTAGCTCTTCTTCCTGACAACCTCTGAAAGAACAATGGATCACTGTATAAAATGCAAATGTGTATTTCTATTAATGTGCTGTATGTATTCTCTGTGAAATAAATTTCATACTAATCATGGTTAAATAAAGACTAAAACAAAAAATATTTTTAAGAAACTGAAGAGTTCTGATTTAAGTATTTATAACATGTTCTCTTTGAGGCCAGCAGATGTAGCTGTGAATTAAAATAGAAAATACAGGTACTTTTATCAAACTGCTCAAGGCCAGCCATTAGATGGCACCCTTTATAGGAGGAACTAGATTTACAGCAGCGATTCAACTCAGTACAGGGTAGCCACTGACAATTACTTGACACTGGAATTCATTTTGATATCTGTATTTATGTAGAAATAAACATCTCACCTATTTATTAGGTATATAGTCTTGGAACATTTCTGTTCATCATTTTCTAAGACTATTATACTAGATCACAGAAAACCAAAAGTTTCTCAACATGGTAGTATTTAATGATACAAGTTCAGCATCAAAACTGTAAACATAGGAGCATTGTAAACACAGAGCTAAAACATCATATATTGCTCTCCATAAGCCTCAGAAGAGTGCCATTAAGAACTTGCTAGGAAAGTGAGCAGGTAAGGACTCAGATAAGAACAGTCTACTGGGGAACCCTGTCTTAGCACAGTGCCAGGCTTATGGCTAGCCAACAATGACTTCTTAATGAACAAAACAACACGTTAATAAACATTACTGCCTTAAATTAAAAAATGTACCCTTGGAAAGGCATCAGTGGGCTCATTTTTCTGTGAGACTTCACAGGTGTTTAGATCAAACCTAATAACCTATGTAGAGGGAGAATTATTTGTGTTCTCTTTCTAGTTAGACATGAAGATAAAATATAAAAGAATTCTATTTACTCTTATATTCAGTAGTCCTGATCATAAAGTATGTTTTCTCCCCAAAATATTTTATTTAGGTAATAACCTTTAATTAGTGCCATAAAACAAAGAAGTTCATGTTCTAGAAACTAAAATAGCATAGTCTAGCCTACAAAGCTAAATTCTCAAGGGTACAATAACCTAATTTTGTTGGTCTATGAACATTTAGATTGATTCATTTCTATGACACTTGTAAATAAAAAAACTTCACATTTTCACACCTTAAATATTTACTCATTTTATGACCTACAGTACTAAATACCTGAAACACTGGAAATATCGCCTACCTATTCTACACAATCAGTGTAAAGTGCTAACAGACTGTTATTTTCACACACACACAAAGCAGCTTAATAACCCTATTACTAAGTGTTTGCATGCCCCTCAAATAGATGCTATACATAGTCGGGAAAATTCCATGAAGCAGCTGTACTTCATTTTTAGTACAAATTAATAAAAATAAAATCTTGCACAATTTTTTTAAAAAGTAGTAATTTTTGTTAAAGTAATACTTTTAAGAAACAAGGAAAAGTAAAATAACTATCCATACATCCATAATTCATTCAGATATTTCTATCAGACATCTTTCCACCAAGTTTTCCACTTGTGTTCAGAGATACCTGCTCTTATACATATATATAGCTATGAAACTTTGCCTTTCATGAATCACTATATCGCAAGCATTTTACTACTGCAGAAGATTTCTCTTTCATGAGAAAACAATAGCCAGTCTTATACCAGACTGACATCAAACATGGTGCTGAGAGATGAGGCCCTCACTGAAGATACTCAGAAAAAATTGGTGAGTTATCAAGAAATGTAAGGATTATTTCATAATCAAATTTCCCCCCTGATCCTAACTCCTTCCACTTACTCCTGGAAGCCCATCTTATCTCATGGTGGTAAGGTTGAAGAAATACTAGCTCCTGAAGACTCAGGTCTGGGTTCAAATTTTGAGTCTGCCAGTAATAAATCATACAATCTTGGTCAAGTGATTATTTGAGTCCCAAAGTTTCAATCACCTCATTGATAAAATGGGGGCTGTTGCTATCTGCTATATTGTTACTATGAAGAATAAATAGTCTGCTGTGTTTAAAGTGTCTGGCAATGCAAGAAATGCAAGAAAAACTGAGATAATAGCCAGAGTCATCAAAAATCTTCCAATCATAGGTTTTCTAACTGTTCTAATTAATCTCTAGTTTACTGTTCTGACTAGCTTACAAAGTGACTTTAAAACTAAAAGTTGGTCAGACTACAGAAGAAGCACTGTATTTTTCTATCAGTGTATTTTGAGTGAAAAGTACAAGAACGCCCATGTTTAATTATGATTAAATGTGAAATGCTCAATAATGTTTATAAGGGTGCTGCAGCCCCTCCACTTGCCTCAGTTTCTCCCTCTGTACTGAACTACTTCCATCATCATATACATGGTGTTAACTATCCTACTAAAACCAAAAAGTAACCATAACCCCCCGCCTTCTAGATATGACATCATTTCTTTCTTTTACTTTAAGGCAAAACTTAAGATTTTCCTATACACACTGTGTCCAGTCTCTCTCCTCTCCTCTCCTTTGAATCCATTCCATTCAGACTTCCTCCACCACCTCACCAATGACCACCACAGTGCCGCACGCAGGGAACGTTCAGTGCTCATGGTAACAGCATGCAACACAGTCAGTTGTTTTTCCTTGACATGTTTTCTATTCCTATCATCAAAGCCCCTATTTTGACTTCCCTTCCTTCTTGTTAGGGAAATCTTCGCTACTTTTTCCTCACTTTGCAATCTCTTTAATCCTTAGGAGTACTCAAGGGCCTCTTTCTTAAACCTCTTCTCTTTTCTTTCTATCCTCACTGCTTTGCTGAGTTCATCCAATCTCATGGCTTTAAGCACTATCCACACACTGGTAAGTCTCAAATATATATTTCTACCCTGAACCTCTCCCTGAACCGCAGACTTCTGTACTTAACTGCTTACTGGACTCTTCATGGCTAACAAATACATCAAACTCTTAAGTACCAGACGGAGTCCCTGATATTGTCCTCGACACCCCCTCACACACTGGCCCGCGTTCATTTTCTAGTTGTTCAGGCCAAGGCTTGGAGACATCCTTGACTTTACTTTCTCTCCCCTCCATGTCCAGTGTATAACAAATTCTTGCTGACCTCACCTTCGAAATATACCCAGAACCTCTTTTTACTGCACCACTGCTCCCATTCCAGATACTACTCATTCGCATTTGTCCTGAAGAGCCTGGCTCACAAAACTTCCTAGGAGTTATTTTAAAAGAAGAAAAAGAAAGAAACTGATAATCCTTACTGTACAGGTTTTTAGTTTGGGGTATAAATTTTATATGTACACATATACATATACTAGACATAAACACACACATATGCACATTTATGTTCTTAGAATTTTTCTAACATTAATCATTTAAATAATTCATTTTAAAATGCTTTAACTATTTTACAAGGGTATTTATATATATGGATGTCAAACAGCAAATGAAGTTGTTCCAAATTAATAGTTTTATTACTAACATCAATTTACATAGAATGAACATTAGGTATGAATTAATCATTAATTAGGTTTGAAAATCTTACATTATTTATTATTTACTGGTAATGAGAAGTTGCCCAGATACTGGTAAGAATTTAGTCTCATTTTTTGTCATTACTTTTCAAGACAGACACCAAAATATATGCAAATTTGAAAACCAGAAAAATGTAGACAACAGAAAGTAGAAGAAACAGCCAGATGCCAATTACAAGACTGCAGTTACTTACAGTGTGGACTCCTAAAGCTTTCCAGACTGCAAAGCTGATCACACCAACTCCACACCAGGCACAAAGTGAGCCCCAGCCCAGAGCTCGCAAGGCAAGAGAAGACCCACTCTCCGGTAAGGCAGCTGTGGCCACACTGCCCTGTATGAAGACAGAATGACTTGGCTAAAGGATAAACATGCTGGGAGTACTCTTTACATAAATAACACAAAACAGTGGGAGGCTAGAGGAGCTCAACATTAAACCGTAGCTTTGCTACTTAACAGCCTCATGACTTTTCTGACCTACAGATATGAGTATGCAAGACATTATGCCTTTTAATTCATCCATAAAAATCACAGAACATTTCATCAAGGTTTCTCAAAGTCTCATTCATTTGCATTTGCATCAGAAGAACATTAATTAGCTAATCTAATAAGAAACAGCAAATCTTTAACATCCTGTCTTCCATCTGGAAAGAAACTCATTTATTAAAGTCTTTTTCTTTATAATGCTCAATCTATTTCATAGTACAAGCTTTTCTTCTTTTTTTTTTTGGTGTGTGTGTGGGGGGGTTGTTGCGGAGATCAAACTTGGGGTGCTCTATCTCTGAGCAACACCTCACTCCTCTTTTTAAATTTTGAAACAGGTTCTTGATAAATTGTCCAGGCTGGCCTTAATCTTGAGTCCTCCTGTCTCATCTTCCTTAGGAATTAGAATTAACACTGATGTGCCACAGTGCCCAGCATAAAATTTTCTTCTGTATATCTGCTTTATAACAGTGCATACTGTTCCTAGTATAAACAAAGCCTTTGCTTTGATGATTGGCATCCCTATGCCCCGCATCATGACTAGATCTGGCAGGTACTCAGTGTCTGTTGACTGACACTTCTTATAAACATATTTTAGACCTAACCAGAACAAGACCAAGACATCTTTCTTTGGTCATCTTTTATGGCATAAATAATATACTTTCTTACTCTTTTCTTATGGTCATTTAATTTCAGCATGATTCCCTAAATACCACACATTTCACATAAATCAACTGACTTTAATTGCCCTGAATTTTCATCAAGAAGCAATGGCACTAACCAAATGTCATTTTACCAGGGGCAGTTAAATGCTTTGGCCTAATTTTTATTTTAGAAACACAGATTAGAAATCCATTATTTCCCTAGAGAGGACAGAATTCACCTAGATATACATATTTTTACCATCTACATAAACCCATTTGTTTTACTAAATCTGGTTGTACAAAGGTGACTGTATGAATGTAACTCTAAATGACACAATAATATGTACAATAAAGTCTTAATTTTGCCTTAGATTTTTTTAAAAAATGTGTATACATCATTATTTGTGCATATCAGTCTCATAAACTGACTGTGAGATGAAATGAAAATTGGTTGTGATTAACCACTTACTGTCTATATGCTTTGAAAGATAAATTTTGATTCCTTGGGGCTGGGGATTTAGCTCAGTGGCATAAGTGCCTGCCTTGCAAGCAGGCAGCTGTGAGTTCGATCCCCAGTACCGATAAGAAACAAAAAGAAAAAAAAAAATTGATTCCTTAATGATCTAAGAGACACTAATATAGTATAACTGACTTGCATTTTTTTTCTCTACTCTCCTTTCCTCTTTCACAAATTCTATTTCCTTTTTCCTTTTGAACAATTTCTTCCCAATTCACAATATCTAATTCGATGTTAATTTTTCAATTTAATATCAATTGGAATTTTTATGCCTATATCTTGTGCCCTGACAACTTCTTTAAAGGTAACAATATTGAATATATTAACTATTTTATTCTCCTATTATTTTGTTATGAAGTTTTGTTTTATCTTTTTTCTGTTAAAAAAATCGATCCTTAAGTTTTAAAAAATCTAATCACAAGTTTTTCCTCTGGGGGAAAATGTCATTCATATTCTCTATTCAAATTTTTCAAAATGAGCATTGGCTGACTTGCTGCAGGAAAAGACCAACTTCCAAAAATAATGTTGCTTTAAAAGACCTTTATTATAGCCACATATCATTTATATTTATGTATATATAAATAATACAAACATACACATAGATATTTTAAAAGCTACACTTCCCTTTACTGCCATATTACTTTTTAAAATTAAAATTAAAGTACATGAATTTGGAACTGGAATTTAACAAATCATACTTCAGTTATGATACTTAGTACCCAAAGATAAAATTTTTTATAAATAAAGGCTCCATATTTATAATACCCCTCTGTCAAAAGACACGAGTACTCATCATCTTCTAATTTTTACCACCTCCTTTTGAGGAAAGATGACAAGAATTAATCTCTTATTCACATACTGTATGTAGGAACTATGACGTGCAATTTGCTCATTGTTAAGGTCAACTGCAAAACTAGTAAGTTTATATTTTTAGTTTTTTCAATATAATTCTGGAATTAATTTTATGTAAGTCAAATGGACTTTTAAATAGAATGCTTAATCTATTTGATATGATAGCTATATAAAAACATGAATGATAACTTGCTCTTTATTCTGCTTACATAAATGGGTCTTGAAATAACTCAGTTATTGATGAAGTTTTGCCATGACATAGTATTAAGCTGAGGCACTGAATTAAAGTACATCAGATAAGTAATTTTATTCACTGAGCCCTTACTATTGCTTTTCAACTCCCAGCTTTCTGGCATAAGACCTAATGAAGATAATGAAAATAAAGACATTAAAGAGATTATCATCTTCCAGAACGAAAGCAATGCAGGCAGTCTCCTACCGAAAAATCAGTCATTTTAAAGTCTGTTTGTGCTCCAGTTTGAATCCGTGTTGTAATGAATACTTAAGATTCCCAGGCTAGTGGGTAGTTTACTTAAATGACAACATTGGTTAAAGTGGTATCATTTATTATGCAGAAAAAAACAAAGATGGAGAGAGTTTCACTTTAGGTAAATAGATTACTCCACAAGGCCCACTTTTCTGTTCTTAGGTATGAATGACGTACAGTATCAGTGTCTCATATGGTTTTGTGGAGGTTAAATAAGTGAAGCCCTCAAAGAGTAGGAAGCACATGGCAAACACTCAAATGTTAGGTATTATAATTAGTATTGTGAATGTTCTGACTTTGAAGTACACTACATATGTGATATTCTTAAACTGGTGTTTGTTCAGTATAAGTCCTTACCTGTGTGCTTTTGAACCTGAGTTCTACAAATCAATTTAACTTTTAAGAGTTTGGATAAGGTATTCTAATCCCATATTTCCCAGAAGAAAGCAGAAACTTACAGAACATATTTAACTACCCAGAAGAGTGGTTCTCAAATTTTCTAGTTTCCAGATTCCTTTATACTTGGACTCCAAAGGTTTTCAATTATGTGGATTATATTTTAGCAATATTTACATAGACTATAAAATTAAGAATTTCACAATTCATTCATTTAAAAATAGTCAATTATAAATTAATATACATCATTTTTATGAAAAATAACTTATCAAAAAATGTACAGAGTTTTACATTTTTGCTAATCTTTTAAATGTCTAATGTAATAAAAGACGTTTGGATTTTCATATCTTCTGTAGTCAATCTGCTGCCGAATATTATTTTTAAATTGATGTACAAAATACTGAAATACCTTATACTATAGGGAAAAAATGATCCACAAGATATACAGCAGTGGTTTGCATAGCTCTATGTAACTCCTCAGAGTATTCAGAGGGAATCCAAATGCATTTTAAATGTAGACTATTGCTGGAGATTTAGCTCAGCAGCATAAGCGCCTGCCTTGCAAGTGCACAGTTGCAAGTTCAATCCCCAGTACCAAAAAATAAATAAATGCAGACTTCAGTCATAAACTAATAAGGCTTAAGTATGACTATTAAAGACAAGTAGAAAGGAAATTCAACTGATTTATGATTTTTTACATAACACTTTTCTTCCATAGCACATATCAATCTGTAAGTATACAGTTATTTGATTATTTGGTATGTTTGCACACACCAGACACTTTAGTTCCTGAGGATCAGATGTATTGTATCCCTTGTACCTAACTGCAGTGTCTGACACATAAAATATTTCAAGTAAACATTTGTTGAAGCAATGAATAAACCAAATGAAATGGGGGGGCAGAGACAAGACAAAAGACAAGAACAAGTAACCACAAGTAAACATGAAGGAAATTTCTTATTAACCAGATAAGTGAAGTGCATGAGAATAACAGTTTAATTTTGCTCAGCACATAAGAATTTTCAGCTCTAAGTAGGTTATAGTCAACTCATCAAAGTTTACCAAAGACCTATTACATGTCAGGCACTTTTCTAGGGTCTAGGACTACAGTAGCGCCTGATCTCTGTGTTCAAGGAGCTGACATGGTTTTCATCAGTACTAAGATGAAGTTTATTTCAACATTTTAACATTTCTCCAATAAATGCCTCTTACAGTCAGTATCAAGAATTTAACTGACATTATTTGTTCTTGCTAGTTGGTACATAAAAATTAGTATTGATAGTGAACTACCTACACTTAGATTTAAAATCATGCTGTGAGGATGAATGTACAAGGTAAACTTTCGAAATCTTGTTCTACTCAAGTTTAAGAAAGCACATATTTCTTTTTTAAAGAAAATACAAATCAATTAAATTGTGCAGTTGAATCCATGAGGTATATACACTTTACTTCTTAAAGCAATAAAAAAGCCATCAACATTTTCTTTCCTTTTCCTATGAAAAAGCTGCCTTTATTGTAAACAATAGCAATTTTATGAATGGATTTCAGTGTTACAAACCTTATTGAACCATTCAGGGCTTTTCTTTTTAGCCAGTGATAATGTTGTAACAAATCCAGCTATCATCCCTGCTGCAGCAACAGAACCCAGGAAAATTCCACCTGCCAAGTTTGGGGGAGAAGGGATAAGTTACAAAGATGTACACAAGTCTTATACAATTTTTACATTACACTCAAAATTACTTTTGAAATGTAAGAAATTAGGGCTAAACAATTCTTGCCAAAGGTAAGTGACAGCGACTGTGAAACCAACATGACCTCACTACCTCTGGCTCCTGGGGTCATTCTGAGACACAGTTCTTTGTAGAGAGCTGGCGCAGGTTCCCTTCCCATTCCCCTAGGACAGTAGCTTGAAGTTTCTCCCGGAAAGGAAAAGAAAGATCGTGACGATTAAAAAGGCCACAGCACGAAAGAAACTGCAAAGAGGCTGGGGGAATACACCACCCACGGCAGAGGAGATCGCTGGATCTGTCTCGGGACAGGGGAGACTGCACTTGGCAAGTGCTTAACTGACCCCACCAGCTCCAAGGGCTCTCAGAACCGGCTGTGTTTAGGAATGCCATCCCAATGCAGTCCCGGGCACTGGGTGAGCTCGCTCCAACACCGCACCACTCCACACCACACCTTTAATCAGGAAAAGCCGGTCGTCCGTGGATCCCCGAGCCTCCAGTGAAGAGGAGGACTCTACAGTGCCAGCACCTCCCAACACCATGTTTAAGCCTCCACCACTTTGTCCGGCACCAAATGGGTCCGGGTGGAAGCGACAGGGAGACGAAGGAGAAACGTTCCGCGGCTGGTTGCCCTTGTGCAACCTGAGGACTAGTCCGCAATTCAGCCAGTGTGTGCAAAATCTCCCCGCTGCTGAGGGCCAGGATGATGAGGCGGCTACCAGCAGAGCCCCCAGTTTAGCGCTAGGGACAGTGTCTTCTAAGGCGGTCTCCCAGGGAGAATTTATCTGCCTTCTCCAAGATGAGGATTGCAGGACTCGCACAATTTTGTTTACTTGAAAAACTACCCAGTCCTGACTCTAGGAGGCAGTGAGAGGTTGCAGATTGACCTAAGAACCCAACCCGACCCTGCATTGAGAGCCTAGCGCTCAGATTCCTCATCAGCATTACACTGCGTCCAAAGATTTGCCCTGCGTGAATACCTCCCGGTTCTAAAAATCGGATCTCGGTCTTTATACTTTTCTGAAGAATTGCAAAACAGTCGTGGTTTGGGGTTAGACGCTTTATTCTGGAAGAGCGCCCCCTATCAGCACTGCGGGGGCGTCCTCGTTCCCCTCGGGTTGTCTGGAGGGGAGTGGAAGACTACCAAGATGAATTAGCAAGGCAAGTGGAAGCCCACTTCAAGAATTTGGTGTCAGAGGCTCCAAGATCGCCCACCAGCCGCTGTGGAGCGTTGGCAAATGGCAGGCAGAAATGGCCCTCACATTCTGGGAGGCTGGTGACTTTAGCCAATGACCATTGAGAGGAGGAGGCTAGAAGTCAGTAGAAAGTCTTTCCAGCCTTGTAGAGACATGGAACATCGTCGTTCAAAACACAGCAATAGGTCTGTCTGCCTTTTTGTTTCCTGATCACTGTAAGGCATGCCTTCCTGAGAAAGACGGGGTTCTATATTTTCATAAACCCCAGCTCTCAGCATATTAGCTGGTCCTGCACAGTAAATGTTTGTTAGGTAAATGAGAAAATGAATGCCATAAGTTTTGCATCCATTATATACATATGGTAGCTCAAACTTAGGTTCTGGTCCTAAGCCACTTTTTAGCTTTATGAACTTAGGGTAATTTAGCCTCTGCCTCTGTTTTTCTCATTTGTTAAATAAAGAAACAGAGAGGGCCTACTTTTTAGGGTTGCTACAAGAATTAAACAGAGCCATGCATATAAAGAAGTTAACATAGTGGTTGGCAAAGATAAATAATAAGTGTTCACTTTAATTGTCACTTTTGACTTGAATAGTTGTTTTGCTGCATTGTCTATCGAAATTTTTTAAATTATTATAGACCCCCAGGGTTTATCGCTAAAGATTATGGCTGTGGAGGTCCAGGGAAGGGTAAAGTTTAAAACCCCCACGAGAGTTCTGTTGATGAGCAGCAAGAACTGCTGCTCTGTTTCTGTGTGGATGAGACCACGCGAAATGTATTTGACCTTTGAGTTCCTTGGAAATGCAATGTCAGAATCTGAAAGGGCCCTTTAAGATGATAAATTCTCTGCTAATATGCTAAAGGTCATAAGGACTTACACTTTTTTCTTTCCATTCACAGATAATAGTGGCCATGACTGTTAACATTTACTGAGTGTTTTCTGTATGTGCTTGCTATTGTTTGGGTGTTTAACACACTCCCAAAAACCTATGAACTAAGGCTTGGCCGCCAGAGTATGGCCCCCATCCACCATTGGGAAATGGTGAGATGTTTGGGAGGAAGGGCTAGTGGGAGGTGTCTGGGTACTTGAAGTGTGCCTCCAAAGAGTTATGGGATCCAGGTCCCTTCCTCTCCCTTTGTCTCTTTGGTAATATGAATGGTTTTGCTCTATCACATGCTCCCTGCACTATGTACTGTCTTACCAACAGGCTTCAAAGAACAGGGCCAACTGATCGTGGACTGAAACCTCTAAAACTGTGCCAAAATAAATCTCTTCTCTTTATAAGTGGCTGGGCACAAGCTAGTTATCCCAGCACTCTGGGAGACTGAGGTGGGAGGACAGCAAGTTCAAGCCCAACCTGGGAAATCTGGCAACTTAGCAAGACTCTGTCTCAAAATAAAAAATTAAAAAAAAAGAAAATATCTGGGGATATAGCTCAACACAAAGACCTCGGATTCAGTCTCCAGTCACACACACACACACACACACACTTTATCTCAGGGTTATAGTGAGACAGTGATCAGAAACTAACAAAATCTGACTTTGCAATAAGCACCTCAAATACACTATATTGTTTAATCTCCACAAACTCAGAAAGACTAATTTGCTCAAGCTTGCAAGCTGTTAAGGGGCAGAGTCAGGATCTCAGGGCAGGTCCTTCTTTATCCACTTGCTGGTGGTCCTCCATCTGAGCATGACTACTGAGCTCCCTGGAAAGGCTTGCTGGACGCAGATTTCTGGGCTCAATTCCCAGATTCAGTAAGACCTGAGAACTTGCATTTCTAGAAATACAGGCTCTTGCATTCCTTCTTTGTTACCTCCCTAAAATAGCACAGAAACTTTTTAAGGATCATATTATTATCTACTAAAAGGAACAGAAGAGAGATAATAAATCTTTAGAGGGCAAACAAGTAAATAAAAATAAAAGATAGATAATAGGAAACAATAAGATAATCTTTTGCAAAAGGGAAGGAGACCAAGAGACGTAGAGAGGGAAGAGGATATAAAAAGAATTAAGATACATTACATACAGTTACCAGCTTCTCACAATACATGTAATCATTCATGTCACAAACATGTATTAATTTAAAAAATCTCGGGAAGTTGAAGCATCCTGTACTCTAGTGCCTGTCTCCATTTTGAGAGCAACTATAAACCGTTTGGGACTCTGTCTGCTTTTATATTGGAGGATATGGCTCCCATCCTCTTCCTTTCTACTCCCAAAAGTAAGGAACCATTGTCCTCAATTCTATCTGAAAGCTGCTCATTTCCCCCAATGTATAGAGAACTGAAAAAAATCAAAGCAAGTCAGTAGATAGACACTCTTGAGCCTTGGGTAAGCAGCGTGTGTTTTGAAGATCCTCACAGGATACACTCCACTAGAGGAGGAACTGAGAGCATCTTGGAGGAACATTTTATGTGGGGTCTGCAACCCCTGTTCCTTACCAGCCCTAGTGGTTTTGCCTGTTGCTCACTCTGCATCAGACTCCAGGAGATGGCATTTCCAAAGGCTCAGATGCCTGTGAAACCCCAGAGGATAAGAGGCCTTGAGATTAGGACTACATTCCAAGTTAGTGCTGAAATAGATTTTTTTTAAAGACAATGTTACTCAAAGTCTCACATTTCCTCAGTGCACATAATTAGATACTTCGAGATCAATCTGAGTAACTTGGGCTGCATTAGGAATTTCAAAAGCCCACTTAGACTTGTTTCTGTGGGAATTCACAGTACAAACTCCAAACAGGTAAGTTGCAAGCTAGTCTGTGCCAGACAGTGTCTTTAGTTCTGAAACAGCAAGACAACATTTCCAAGTGTGGAAACGAGAGATTAGAAAGTCACAAGGGTCTGATGCTCCATGCAGTGCCAGCAGGACTGTCATCTCAATGCAAGAATGATTCCCTTTTAGGAAAATGTAATAGAAATGTCTTGCTTCAGAAAGGAGACTGCTGGGAAAGCACGTTTGTTTGAGGCAGACGCTGTTGCTATTTTGATGTTTGTCTGAGTCAGCTGAATGTCCACACCAGCAATGCATCTGACCGCATTCTTATTTCAAATTTTTTGGCCCCTGTATATTCTATTTCAAATTTTGACAGCTAGAAATCTATTAACACTATGGTTCCCAGAATTTTTGATATCCCTAGCTTTAGCTAGTTTCAAATATGGATAGGCTTCTTTTCCCCATTAATTTTAAAGCACATTTCTTTGGAACTTTAGTTACTCTATGTTTAAAGTATAAGGCTGAATTATTTTTAAAATCTGGTAAAGGTCATATGCCAGTCAAAATTATTCTCACTGTTTCTTGCTATAGCATGGTTGTCAAAAAATAGCATGGGCATAGAAGTCTTTAAAAGTTGCTGCCTAAAAAAAATAAAATAAAAGTTGCTGCCTAATTAAATGCATACATGGAAAGAAAGATTTTCTAAACTCCACTCTGAATCACTAACTGATGTTACCTTGAATTTTCTATTGTATTTCTTCTACTTCCTGTCAGTAATGAAAGCAACCTGTTAATATACTTCTATAATGTTGGAGAATATTTAACAAATGATATAAATTACTTTTTTGAGGAGAAATAAAGAAGGAAAACAATAAAATACTTTAAAATGTATCACCTTACATTAAAAAATGAACTTTCTAATTTAAAGAGAAATATTATGTATGTTTCTAGGGAAACTCATCAAACTCTCCAACATGATACCCAGCAACAGCATTCTTAGAAAGCAGGAAAATCATCAAGAAGCATTACATCATAGGAGAAAACTCGGGCTGCCAGAGAGCCCACGTGGTGTTTGCCTTCCCCAGACTGTTGCTGTCAGGCTCCTTGGCTTCTTCCTCCTGTCTCTGCTGGATCCCCAGAGCTACAGCTACTTTAAAGTGCACCATTCCAATCAATACAGTTCAATATAAATGGTAAGTATGGCAATAATTCCTCTTGAGTTAGCTGAAACTAGGCTTTGAAAGCTAGAGACTCATTTCTCACGTCCGATATCTCATTACTTATCTTTTAGAATCCTACTCTGTAACTGTTCCTGGGTGAACAGTATGTCTGTCTTATCAGAGTAAATGAAAGTTGCCATTATAGGTTCTTCCTTTCAATTTTTCTTTGAATCTCTTTCTTAGCTCTTTCTATACTACCAATGAATTATTTCTGGTAATGATCATCCAGAAATCTTTTTGAAAGCTACTGTAGTTCAAAGTTATAGATATTTTCTTACAAAATTTCCTTTAACTATGTTCCTG